CCAAGTGCAACTGTGTTCAATACTGATTGCTTGAGTTGCAGCACCATAGGTATAAAATATTTGCATAATACAGCAGAACAAAAAGAATATTTGCATAATACAGCAGCACAAAAAAAATATTTGCATAATACAGCAGAACAAAAAAAATATTTGCATAATGCAGCAGAACAAAAAAAATATTTGCATAATACAGTAGAACAAAAAAAATATTTGCATAATATAGCAGACGAACATATTTGCATAATACAACAGCAGAGACCAGAATCGTAACGAAAAAATCAAACCAAAAACTACATTAAAAAATCTAACTCAATCGCTAACCTAAGAAATAATCAAATGGTAGAACAAAATCGTTCTCATATCACATCCACAATGATGGAGCGATGAAAAAACGTCACGCTACCAGTCTCTCAAGTTAGAAGCTGGCGCATTCAGTTACTCCCAGTTAAAATCACGAAAGATCGCAGGAACCAATCAATAAAGGAGCTGGCATATCCGCCCAATGACTCCTTTTCTCAATTTAAGTAAATTAAACCGCTATCACCAATTTCAAGCTATATGCGGTCGAACAAATTCTGTACTACCCAATGATTAATGACCGTAATTCGATCCCTATATTTCATCCTCTCTCCGTTTTGCCCAAATGGATACATTTCTGACCCCTACAATAAACTACATGCAAAAATAGTAAACAATTTCTCAAATACCACCACTCTTATCATATATCTTTAAGCTAATACCTTGTAACAGAACTGAAAAAGTTTCTCTCAAATAATTATAAAATCTTAAGTAAATGAGAACTTTTGGGTTTTTTATTGAGAAGTGGTCTGACTGTGCTGTCATTTCATCAAGTTGAATCATCAACAAAAATCAGTGGGCAAATATAATAAGTTCTCGTTTACTTCAGCAATTAAAATTTCAAACACTGTAATATTTCAAATGCCAAAATCATATTAATAATATTTCAAATGCCAAAATCATATTAAAGATAAAAGCATAAAAATTGCTATTTATTCACCAAGATTTGTTTTGATCTTATCACCGATCGATTTATAACCACATAAGATTATTATCATCATCATTTATTATTGTTATTATTATTATTATTATTTTTAAATGTAATAATCAAAATAATTCCTATGATTTATTAGTCTAATTTTCATACCATACTCAAACTTCCGTCTGTTAAGAAGTATAATACAGTGATGGAATGCGTGCTCTTAAAAATTCATAAATATGAAATTATGAAAAAGAATTGATAACGTATTATCATATTTATGTAGTTATTCTAATACAATTTCATCAAGTACCGAAATACTAAATACATTTTACAATAAAATTGAAGCAAAATGTATAATCCATGCATACTTTGTTATTTACTCTTGTTAATAGATTGCTTAACAATATAATATCAGTTTATTAACTTTAATTTGAAAACAGTTAATGCTTGTTAGACTTGTTTACTGAATAACGAAGTTTATGCGTGATAAAGTGACACCATTTCAATGAATATATGACTATATGTAGGATTGATTTCATACATGGACCGCGTGATTTCTAAACTTTTAATTTGAGTTAAAATGATTGTAGTTGTGTTTCATTGTCTTATTGTCTGTATTTTTCGTTCGGTGTATACTAATTTAAACAGCTATAAAAAGGGTTTGGTGTGATTTGATAGTATTGTAGGATTAAAATGGGACGTAGACCAGGTAGTACGACTAAATCAGGACGATTTATGAATCCGGCGGATCAAGAACGCAAGAGTATGCGTCAAAAAGAGCTTAAAAGAAATCGAAAACAGAGGACATTAGTTCGGCATGCGATTTTAAAAAGTAAAGACGTTGACGAGATCTTAGAAAACTTGTCACGTTTAGATGATCAAGGTAAGCAAATAATTTGTATACTGCTCATTTATTTTTTAAATAAGCTTTGCTTTGATTAGTTATCATTAAACAATTATATTGTGGCGTGATTTATTAACATAAATTTCATGCTTGAAGTTAATTCATATTTTTAACCACAATTTTTATCAAGTTAATGGAGAACTTTTGATCATATTTAATGAATATAAAGTGTCATGATTAACCGAAATTTTTATTAATTTTAACAAATGTAACTTTAAATATGATAAATTTCATGAAGCTTATGAGATGAAATACTGCAATGTATTATGATTTTATATCTAGAAAATTGTCAAGGTTCATTATTTACTGATTAAACGACTTCTGAAGATCAATGTTTCATCTAATCTTGTACAAATTTGTCATTTTCAGAATTTGATATACATGTAGAGCATCACAGCAAGTATGTTTTCAATGAAAAACGCATCAAATTTCGACAGACTTTCTTTGAAGTAGTAAATCTGTACAAGATGGAAAAACGTGACGATAAAGTACGGGAACTCGAACAAAAAATGGCACATTATGAGGCAGACAGAGCTAGAAAAATGCAACAATACAGTGAATTTTTTGCACCAGTTATTATCAACTATAGTTTATAAAATTGTTTTCAAACAAATTGATAGGAGTGGATCACTTTTTTGACAGTTTCTTACTCTTTTGGTTTTCAGATGCATTACGATTTTCTCTGGAAGGAAATCCTGTTGAAATTCCATTGCCTGATGGTAGTTCTGTACCTGATGCAGCAATGACACCTGCTATCCCCAGCATACCATCCCAGTTTTTGATGCCACAAGCACGAGCTGGTATTTTGAAGAAGTCGAACAGCAATCGGGACTTGAATTGTAAGGCAGAACCTCCAGGACCTCCATGTGGCATGCCTCCGCCTTTTTGTCAAGATGATGACGATGTTGATGAGCCACCAAGTAAAAGACGCGTACGATTTGAGGACGATGTTACAAGCAATGTTATAGAAACACCTGATGATGATTTAGGACCGGTTGAAAGTAAATTCATGGTCTTCAATTATTTTGCTTTATATTTATCGCTCGTTGTTTTGTCTAGATTTTTTAAAGAATTTTGTCAACTTTTTCCTTATAGTTCCTATGGAATTATTGGATCAAAACCAGACAAATGACGTCGAAATTTCAAGATCTGTGTCTTTACTTACGTCTACAACTTCGCAGCAACCTTTATTATGCGCACCACCGTTGCCACCAAGCTTATTGCCACCACCTCCTCGTCTTCCTCTTCGTGTTCCTCCACCACCACCGCAATTTCGTATCTATTCTTGCTTATTAACTTAGATTTATATTTTTCAATAAAACTACTGTTTTTTCTCTCAATAATGTGCTTTTATTTAGATGAAAATTTTTCAGTTTTGTATGACACCGAATTTTTATAGCTTCGGGGGTGCAAGTCTCAACATACGTCCGTCCATCAACAACAAGTTCTGTTATCTCAGCAGATCCGATGGTGCGGCGAGCAGAAGCCGGTAAGAACGGGGAAGCTACAATTTCAGCTGCTCCAAAATTGAGGGATTTAACGAAAGAAGTGACAAAATTTATACCAACAGCTCTTCAGGTTAATCGGAGCAAGCAGCAAGTGAAAAGGAAAATTAGCAAGTATGTTTTACTTACTATTAGTTGCTCAAAAATCTTTTAATTCTAAACTATACTGAAATAATTACACTGCATTGTTAGGGTATGTAAGTATAGCAGCTCTCACATTTTTCCGTGATATTTGAGATAATGGCAATTTATGCCTTCATAAAAAATTAATGTTTCAGGTTTAATATAATGGGAATACAAGTTGAATCAGCACAAAGAAAGGAAGCAAAAGATACGGATGAGGCTTATGCAGAATTTATGAGTGAAATTTCGTCTCTTTTGTAATTCTTCTGCGATAATCAATTTACTATCATAATTATTTCTGTGGTTTTTGCTAAAGTACTTGTCAAAGTTTACGTTCTTTGCATAATGCTGATTCAATTACTTGCCTGTCATTTTAAAGCAGTCAATTATTTAGTTCGGTAATTTAATAGTGCTTGAAGTTAGAACTTTTCATTTTCTTTTGTCAATTTTATTTGCTTCTTTTTTAGAATCAACATTGAAAATGTGATCATTTACAAAGCTGTTAATTTCTTTTTACTTTTAGTTGCCTTTTCACTTGAATATTATTTTCTCATTTATTTGTATATTCTTCTCTAGAAAAGAATTCACAAAAGTTCTGATAATATTTTAAATGAGATGGTGAAGCTTTCTATTGAACGTGTGATATCTTAGATTATTATTTTAATAACTCGGAAAACCATTTTCCTATCAGTTTCTGGAACAGAATTTCAAAGCTTGATAAAAACATTTGATGGATTTCGTTGTAAACGACATTAGACAAGCATAGTCACAATTGCACAAGAAGTTGCTGATTGAACTTGGCTTCATCTTGTGTGCAGCAGTTTTGCGAAGCGGATGTCAAGATTTGTTATGAATAAGACGTTGATTGGGGTGGTTAGTATGCAAAAATCTATCAGAAAATCACCACTAGTAATAGTATTGGTTCAATTATCAATAATAGAATCAAGTTGAATGCTACATGAGCTTTAAAAGAGTGACATCAATTGAGGTTAAATGATTTCATATTGAATTTTGGATGTGTACATTTTAATGTATTGATTTCTGAATTGTCAAGTGTTTTCAATTATAATGTAATTATTTTTATGTATTTATTTCTTTGTCATTATCTATCTATATCCATACATTGCATTACTTTTTTGTAAATTAAAAATTATTTTAAAAAGAAGAAAGCTGAAATTAGTATTCTTATATTCTCATTTGCAACTACTCATTACCTTAAATGGCTTTTTTAGTGAATCACAAATTGTTGAGAAGTGAAATAAAAAGATAGCATTGAATATGTACATGCAAGTTGTGAGCTGAAGGATTAGGTTGTCAGTGACACAAGAAGGCATTATTCACTGAAAAGGACGCTGAAAGTCGGTGTTGTAGGGACAAGAAGAAAGCGGATATCATCATTTTATTCTAATTGAAATTCTCAATTTTCCACTCTTGCTTTCTTCATTTTTTCGTAATCAAACAAAAAATGATGCTTGCATGAAGATTTTATCAATTTCAACCTTAAACTTTCTATATTGTCAAGATCCAACATTATCATTTTCAATACAAAATGCTAATATTATCAGTACAAATTCTCTCTCTCTCTGTATATATATATATATATGAAATAAAATAAAGTAAGTA